CTGTTTGTGGGTGGCATGAGCATGTACAGTAACATCACCGTTGCTTGCCTTGTCTTCCTACAGGGCCATCTCCCTCTGTAACATCTTTATTCACCTCCCAGCTTGTCAAAGTGCCCCCTACCATGTTTCCTCCTCCACAGGGCTTGTAGCAACATGTGTGAATGCATGTGAGCACTCAGATTTTCCTCAGCCAGCTCCCCTCTTCCCCCTACCACATCAGCTCTATTTGGGGAAACAACCTTATTTGTCCTCTGTGCTGTATTGGGACTCAGATGCTGTGTGTGTGCACATGGGTTGGAAGTGGTGTGCACAACTTGTCTCTCGAGTAGGTCATTGCAACAGATGCCAAACAGATCATGGTTTTGTGAAGACAATATACTTCCCGAGGATACAGATGTTCTGATCAAGGATCTGTGTGTTTGTGTGCGCGTGCGTGTGCTTGCTTCTCTCAGGGTATCTCTATGTGTGTTTGCTGAGGCCACAGTAGGCTTTTAGAAGAGGAACATTGCTATTTGTTAAATTTCAGGTGGACAGCAATGGGCCACCATTTCCACCTCACTGCCAGTCTGCCCATTGTCTCCTCCTGGGCAGAGGCTCTTTTTTTCCCAGAGTTGACTTGCCTACCTGATTTTGGGCAGAGTGGGATGCAGTTTGTGGGCTGTAGTGGTTTGTGAGAGTAAGGGAATAAAAGAAGATGGGTTGAGGACACTGGATTGAGGACACTGGAAAGCAAGTAAGCCAGTGCTAGAGGGTTTGTGGAGGTTCTGGTGCAGCTGGACATGGCTACATAGTCACCCACGGGTGGGATGCTCTTTGCCTTGCTCAAAGACAATGGTCAAAAATGAAATTAAGGAGGTCCCTGCTGACACAAGCAGTGGCCTATAGATAGAGGAGAGGCAAGTGTAAAGGAACATATCACCTCTTTCAGCAAAGCACTGGCTAGAGCTAGAAATAGTGACAACTTGGGCTGGCCTCATGTTTCCCACCAAACCCACCCTCACTATCGGTGTGGGTGAGGAACATCATGGCAGGATGAGAAGCCCAAGAGCTTGTCTCTGTTTCCACTGGCTGCATTCTCCATCTCTGAGCTGCAGTGATGGTCTGTGTGTTCCTGACAGGGTGACTGAAAGGCTGATGTCTGGACACTGGCTGAATGTAGGCTGGCCCTGCGGCACAGTGTGAAACCTGGGTTGTGGTGGGGGGCTTCTTGACAGTCAGCAAGGCGGGATGCTCTCGGCAAGGGAACAGATTGAAGGCAGATTGTGTGGGTGAAGTAGCCCTGTGCTACACAGATAGGGAGTGGCTTCAGAAATGGCATTTAATCATTCAACATTAACACAAGACATCTGTCACCACCCTTGGCAGTGACGGTGCTACACAGCAAAACAATATGTTCTGGTGCTCCTAATCACTGGAAAAACACTACTTTTTGCAGAGAGTTCTTTTAGTGCCCGGCACAAATCCTTCTATTTTATTATAGCAATCCCAGCCAAATCCTTCAATAAATGGAGTTTTTATTAATGTGCAGCTGTTGAATGAGAAAAAAATAAAACTTAGAAATAAAAATGAATCCCTGAATAATCAGGCTGATCCCAGGCAGTAAGAACAAACAGGCCAACCACATACTTACAGCTTTTTGGTATTATTTAAAAATATAGACAGGGCTTTACTTTCCCTCTCTTTTTTTTTTTTTTTACACAGACCTGATTAGATTTTGCTCAGGAAGATCCAAGCCACTTCTGTGAGCTGGAAGTGCAGCAAGGAATGAGAGGAGCTGGGATGGGTCACATCCATTATGTGTGCCTGATATTTGCCTGCTGCTGTGGTCAGGAATTTGCTCTGGCCAGAAAGGAGAGTGGAGGGGTGGCACAGTGCCCAGGGCAGCTGGGGTCTGGCTTTACAATGACGGACGTGCTTGCTTCTCAGCAAAAGAGAAAGAAGAGAGTGTCAAAAAAGAGGGTGGAAAAAGCTGAGTGACCAAAGCCCTCTGACCATTACAGCTCTCATCAGAAGCACAGTGTGGTTTACTTTAACTCGTTGCAGTTCAGTGCTCTTTGCCTTGATTTTGAGCTTGCCAGGTGAAATGTCAATCAAAAGTGCTATTTTGCAGTTAAAAATGAAGGAAAAGTGATCCCATGATGATGTGGTGGGTAAGGCAGGTGCTGAGTAGGGGGAAAAGAGCAATGCTGTCCTGGATTTAGCCCTAGGACCTTTCCCTGTGCACACATAGGTCCTGGCCTGCCAAGGGATTTGCAACCACTGTGTCACGAGTGGGGAAGTCCGCCAGGAATGGAACAAATCTCCTTCCTTTATGCTCACTATTGCTGCTGGGAGATCTGGTTTGATTGTGCTACACCCACGGCACAGCCAGGCTACTGCATGCGTGGTGGAAGCTGGGCTAAACCAGATCCTAGGCTACAGTCCAGCTGGCAATGCAACGACCACTGAGGACTGTTCCCTGGTGGCTCCAGCCCAAAGGAGAGTGCTGAGTGAGCAGAGATGTAGGAGACCTGCTGGAGCTGCCATGAGATGCGTGTTTTCAGGTAACTGAGACCTCGGCCAGCCCCATGAGGGCCCACCTAGAGCTAAACCTCCAACGGGAGGGCAAGAGCAGCCTGGGTAGCACCCCTAGAGCCAAAGCTTTCATCCTGCCTGAGGCACTCAGAGGTTAGCTGTGGTCCTTGGGACAGTGCCTGTCACCAGCAGCCAGACCCTGGTCAGCTGGGGGTGCTGCCTGGCCAGCGTGAGGCAGGAGGGAATGCCCCAAGCAGATAGCACCCTGCCTACGAAATGACGCGGCCATCTCCACTATTCTTTCTGATTAAATGTGAGCCAAAGTAAAGCCCTAATTCTTCTGATTAAAGCTTAGAAGTTAAGCTGTTCGGACAGGATATGTGCCTTGCCCTGTGCTCTCCTAAACCACTTTGTCCACTTGATGACAAGACACTAATAATACACTCCTATGTTTCTTCTCAAACACTCATGATGCCCAGTCCATAAGGGTATATGATGTGCCTGGGACATCCCACCACTTCTCTCGGAATAGTGGTATTTATATGCGGTCACCCGGCTATTTTCAGAAGCAGGGAAGTAGGGAGGAAATGCTCCAAGCAAAGCAGAGGTCCAGGTCTGCCAGGGTTTATCCTTTATGGCTTGGGCTTTTCTTAGTGGAATTGCCCTAGGAGACATGCCCCAACCCAGGCATTGGTCGGACTGTTACACAAATGCTGTCTTACCTCAGGTGCTCTACAAGCATGGATCAGTCCACTGTCACAGCCCTGCAGGGAATGGGTAAAGGCAACTAACATGATGAGTTAGGGCATCAGGGACAGAAGAAGATTTAATTGTCACTGTTTTGTCCTTCATGAATAGGTAGTTTACCCCAGGGTAGCTCTGTTATGAAGCTTTGCTTGAGTGCTCTGTACCCTGCTTGTCTGTTCTGCAGGACGTTCTGAAAATGCAGGATAGGACTGTGGATGAGGCTCACCTGCATTGCACTTGACTTTAAGGAGAAGCTCCTGGCACCCGCTGAGAAGCCTGTCCTTGGGCAAGACTTGTCTGTGGTTTCAGAAGGGGCTGGAGACACATCCTTAGGGACTCATCCTCCACACATGTTCAGCTTCTTGCAGGGGACCTGGGAAACTTCTGCCTCAAACATCTTGCATGGGGAAGCTCTCCTGTCCCTCCTCCTCTGCGCCACGGCCAGCGGCACAGCCTGGTATTGTTTGTCGCGGATCAATGCATTTAGCCATGTGGAAAAATATCATTACCACCAAGGCTCAGCTTTTCTTTCCCCTTGAACCTCTCCTGCTGTGCTGGTGAGGGGCTGGCTAATTGCCTCTTTTCTCAGGTTGCCCCTGGGGATGGCTGCCCTGCAGCCTGCCACACAGCTCACGCTGGTGTTCTCAGGGCTTCCCCCAGCCGGACCGTCTGTTTGCCGAACAAATGAACACTCAGCCACCGTGCAGGGCCATGGGGCTCTTTGTTACATCTCCCCTTGTGAGCTAAATGAACAAGGTGGGGTCACTTAAAAAGAGAGGGAAGGATGGATCGTGGGCTCCCAGCTAGGAGTGGACATGCAGGTAACCTGCTTGTATGTGCTCCAGACAATCATGGTGCTGGGATGGCCCCCAAAATGGGACTGGCACAGAGGTTTCCTGCCCTGGGCTGTGCAGGGTGACAAGAGCAGAAAGAGTATTCTCCAGGGTTTCTGCTGCCACTGCCACACGATTATCTCTCAGGAGTCCTTGGAGGGCTTTGGCTGGCAGAGCACTGCAGGAGCTGCACAGGAATGTGAGCAGAGGGAATGCTAAAGGAAACTGATGACCAGGCCTCTTTTCCCTAGAGAAACTGGAACCTTTCTAGGTACTGAGCAACAGGAAATAAGGCCCTTCACTGCCATTTCCAAGTAGGAATAAAATACCTTATTCCACCCTCAAAATCCAGCGAAAGCTCAAGACAGAAGGGAAGACTGCAGACAATAATTCCACAAAGGAGAAGTTTATTTCTTCCTCTTAATATTTTTCCTTATCTTTTTTCCCAGAGTGTGACAATACCAATAATATAAGTCATATCTGAGGTGCTTAAACAACTGTTCATTGTCAGCAACATTCAATCTGTTAATTTTGGACAATATATTCCCTTTTGGCATCAAGGCCCACCTTGACTATTCCTTGGAAGGATCATGTCAAAGCAAAGCCCAAGAGCTGGTAGAAAAGCTGGAGAGTCCTTTGTGCTAAAATCTGTCCTTTATTATAGGAAAAGTTAGTCCCAAAAGAAAATTTTACAAGTTTTACAACTAGGTGCTTCCAATGAAGGAGGAGAGGGAGGGGAGGGAAGGGGAGGGGAGGGGAGGAAAGGGAAGGGAAGGTCCTTTAGGTGGTCTGTTTGGGACAAGATAGCTTTAGTAAAGGGTCATTTGCTTGTATGATGTCGGGTGGGATCTGTGAAACAGCCAAATGTCAGTCTTCAGCTAGAAGACCCTAATTTATGTCTCTGAGGAGTCCAGTCGTTAATGGGAGGAAGGAGGAGACTGAAATTCACTAATGAATTATCTGCTCTGTCTGAAAAGAAATGGAGAGGTTGCTTCAGGTTGGGGAGCCATGCTTCAAAATCTCTCTGCTCAGCTGCAGAGTGGAGATATCTGGGAATGCCCAAGGTACAAGGCCAGTGCTGGACCTCTTTGCACAGCCAAAACCTTTGAATTCACCTGCAAGCAGAGGTGCCACATTTCAGCACTTCAGGAGAGCTGATCTAGAAAGCGGTATTAAAGGGAAGAGTGAGAGTAGCCGCCTGTGTGTGTGGTGTCCTTCACTTTAATTAGGTTAGTTTCTTTCATGGTAAGTGCTGTCATACCAAGCTGAAGAATCAATACCATATGGCACAGCACTCAGAGAGCAAACTTGGAAATTAATTAAAGATTAAGTACTTCTGTTAGGTCTCATAGCATAGCGCCTACGATTAGGCATGGCTGAACTGGTTTGGAAACACAAAGGCTGGGCAACACCTTCACCCAGAGCTGAGCTGGGCACTCTACCACTCTGTGGTCTGAATAAACTGTAATCCCCCTTTCTTTATTCCCAATGGAGATATATTAGAAACATTGAAATCACTGTTTTACATGTTTTCCTGGATTTTCCTGTGTCTCACTTCCAGCTTGCTGCAGGCCAGGGCAGGGAAGGGAATCATTTGTTCTGGGAGGCTTCTGCTTGGCAAGGTGCTGGGTATGAACGTGAGAAAGTGCTTCCTGGGGGCTCACCGTGCTCCTGGGCTTGGAGCGGGCAAAGCCATGGGAGGCAGCAGAAAGAAGAAAATACACATTGGTTCAGATGTTGTGACAATGAACACTGGATGGGCATTTAGAGAAAGAGAAGGGCGACTTGCAGGCTGGGTGGGCAGAGGTGTCTGGGGGACAAAGAAGGCTATGAGGTGGGGGAGAGGTGAGGCAGGGAAAAAAATCAGCCTTCAAGTCATCAGAGGAGCAGCCAGTTCTCACAGAGACCATTTGCAGCCCAGGCACTTTCCCATCACTACTTCACCGCCTGGGACCAGTGACTTCCAAGCAAACCCAGTTGGGCCTGAGCTTTTCCAACACCCCTTGCAGTCACAGGCTGTAGCTGTGGCTCTTGGAGGGGTGAGGTATGCCCTATTCCCCAGCACAGCTGAGGACCAGCTATAAAGGTGTGTCTGCCACAGACTGGGATATTTTACTTTGCACATCCAAAGTGAGTGCAGAGAAACAGCAATACCCATGGAACCTTGATAAGTTGCCTGCACTAGGATCCAGCAAAATTTGGCTCCCTGCTCTGCCCCTGTCCTGCTGCCTGGACATAGGCAAGTCCCTTCCTTTCCCTCTGCCCATTCCATATAGTGCACAGGGCAGATGCCCATCCCTGCTGACATCCTCCAGGCTAAAGCACAGTGAGCTCCCCCACACCTCTGTGTCTAGATAGGTACTTTCATGGGACCAAAAAATTTTCTGCTCTCTCAAATGTGAAAGAAACCTGATGTGGTGGTAAAATCCTGTAGGAAAGGAGAAAGGCAAGGCAAGGCAAGGCAAGGCAAGGCAAGGCAAGGCAAGGCAAGGCAAGGCAAGG